AGAAATAAAGACGAGTTGACCGATTCGTCCTAGTGACTGAAGCTTCATTCAGATTTGTTCATGTCTTAATTAAAACCATGTCTTCTTGCATTCATTCAGTAGCTTCACAATCAGTGAAATGCTTCAAATATTTATTCAAGGACACTGTTGCGTTGTCTCAGTTACGAGTGATGTGCAGTGATAATATTAAATATGAAATGAAGCCACTTTCAAAACTACAGGCAGGTGCATTTGTGTGTCCCATGTCTCAAGAGAGTAGAGAACAGAAACATACAGCATATTGGTTTTACACAATTCGAAATATACTAAAAACCAACATGCATTCTCGTCTTAGGACAACTTCGATTAACTTTTTTGATCCACATCAAACGTTGACCACTGTATAGTGTGTTTAGCATCTGATCAGGAACACAACGCTGACAGCTCAGTCTACAACCTTTCTTGTTGCCAGGTCTAAGTCTTAGCCTCTAAATGTGAGCAAGAGGAGTTCGAGCTCACCTTTGCTTATCATAGCAACATCGCTTCAAATATGCAGTATACTGGACATTACACTCATGAACAACGTGTTATTGCAGAGATGGACGCTTGATGAAGGTCACTGACACACTGCTGTTTACACATTAATAACACTGTCGAGATCGTGCTGTATAAATCGTGCATGATAAATGTCATGAACACACACAAGCTGACTGAGCGACACCTCGACTAAAGAGAGCACTCTTTAAGGGCACTCAGTAGTAGTGTATTAGCCGCTCACCTTCTTGATGAGATCGCTGCTGCAGGATTTCTGAGACACACTCCTCGCCGCGGACAACATCTCTGACTTATTTATCGCTAAATGCAGATGACACTGAGTGAGAGGTCTTTGTAAAGCCGCTGAAAGTTAATTAGATGAGCTCTGGTGGTCAAACTCAGGCCGTGTGCTGTCAATAGCGCTAGAACCGAAGTCTCACTCACGCTCTTCTAGAATTATCCAACAACAACACATGCGTGTTCCGAAGGACCTCATAGCAGCTCACAGAGCGCCTGAACAGAATACGACATTCCGCTTTCATGGTGTTTAATGCAATTATTCACTGTGTATTATGTGCTATTGTTGTCTAAAATTATATTAATCTGACACAAACATAGGATTAAATAATATTTGAATGTCAAAATTAAATAAGGCATGCATGTAGACATCAAAGACTGCATTACCAAAATCAATAATGTTTATGAGATTTTAAACAACAATTGTATTGTTTTTTTGTGAAAATAGTTCATAAACAGAGTTGAA